AACAAATGGGGAAAACACACACACTTGTAGAAAAATTACATAATCACACCTACATTGTTAAACTCCTTCCATCATAATAATGTTAAATAGCAAGGTGAAACTCAGCCTCTTTTCAAAATCTCTTCTACTCAGTCTCTTACTTATGAGTAAAACCATTTTATACAGAATAATTATGTAGTATTTTTATCGGTGAACACTCCTTCAATTTACCATTACAGTTACATGTATATTTGGAATTGAACAAATAGGAAATATAAATGGGCTTTTAAAAGCAACATCCTCCATATTACGTACTTTGCAGGTTCTATATAACTGTATACAAATATTTTTTTAAATTATTTTTACATTATTACAGTTTATAGTTATTTGTTCATGTTGTTGACTGTCTGCTGTTTGCCGAACTTATATAACTTTAACTCTTGAAATTGTTGTTATCCATGTATCGTAAACTTGATATCGTCATGTTAATAAATCAGTACAGCTTGTTATGTAATAGAACTTCCTGTAATAATCATTTAAATTAACTTTTTTATATATCATTTAAAACAACCATGAGAATTACCGATTGTCAATAATTGCTATTTAACTTCATAAATGTTTGTATATGTGCAATTTTCCGCACGCTCGGTAATGGACCTCAAGTATTCATATCTTTAAGTGAAGTCAATACTAGTACTCAACGCACATTATTGATTTAAAGACACTTATCTATGTATAAGCGTACATTCAAACTTACCATCTGAAGGTATTTTGTTTTAAATTAGATTAAACATGATTTCCTACGAATTAAAAACAATAGGTTGTCAAATTAATGATGAATGTTACGATGAATAAAAAATAGTGTGCGACTACAACGATAGAAAATAGTGTGCGGCTATTACTTTAAAAAGAAACTGGTTGTTAAAATACTGAGGTTTGTCTCGCCTGTGTACCTTAATCACCAAAACTGCCAGAAACAGTCGCTTTCTTTAGTTTCATCACAGGCGAGTCAAAAGCTATGGGTCTAACAGTGCATTCCATTTAAAAAAAATGTTCTCTACGGGAAATCATTTAGGTTCCCTTCAATATAACCGTTGATCATATTTAAAAAACAAAATCTTGCATGGCACCCCTTGCATGTGTCTAACAGAATTGCTTTAATTCATTACAACGATTCCTGTTTTTGTTATATCGACATTACTGACCATGACGACAAACATAGAATATCAGACAATACCAAGAGAAAGGATGTTACTAAAACAGTTGCTCATGTTTGTCGTTGGTTTGTGTCTTTCATATTTGTTTTTCGTTCATTGCAATTTGTTGTATGGCCATTGTTTTTTCTTTTCTTTTGAATTGTTTCACATTTTGTCACACCGGGACTTTTTATAGATTAATAAACCATAGTATGTGATTTTTCTCATTGCTGAAGGCCATACAGTATCCTATGATTGTTAAATTTTTTGTCTGTTGGTCTTTATTGATAGTTGTTTTATTAGCAATCGTACCAAATCTCCTTATTGTTATGTTGTATTAAATAGTAGGTAGACCTACGACCTAAGTCCATCTTCTAAAACAAAGCACCATGAGTGACATTGGTAGATGGCATATTGCAATGTACTAATCTCAAACAATATCAGTTGGGACTATTATATTCGGAAGCATTTTAGTGACGTACAGTGCATGGATGAAAAATTTCCAAAGCACATTTATAAAAAGATAATATTTTGATATAATACGTTTTTGGTTGAAATTTTATAAACCAGGTGTTGAAAGACGCAGATTGGTCTGAATCGGAAGTTTATTTCTTTATTATTCTAAGTCATTATCTGTCTTCAGTTCTTTTTGTTTTCTACTGATGTGAACACACATGATAAGTATCCTATATTTGCTTTAGTTTAAATATATAACAAATTCTTTGACATAAAAAGAATACATGTGTTTTAAATTACTGGAATATACAATCGCTTCACAACAAAGGCCATTTCCAAACATATTTATAAATATCCTAACGCTTAAATAGGACCGTGCTCACGAAACGTGATCCTAAATTAACCTTCATCAAGAATGCTCGTAACCACAAGTTAAAAGCAACCATAAGATTGTAAATAATTTTTATTAAATTTAAAGAAAAAAAATGTATATGAAAAATCAAAATAACACTTTGTAAATGTTATGCATTCGAAGCGCGTCCCTCCATTTACCTTCACCAGGAACGACCATAGCCAAGCAACCATTCGAAGCGCTTTCCTCCATTTACCTTTACCAGGAACGATCATAGCCAAGCAACCATTCGAAGCGCTTCCCTCCATTTACCTTCACCAGGAACGACCATAGCCAAATATTTGAAAGCAAATGTTCAATCTTCTGCTAACTCGATGCCAATAATGGACTTCAAATATTCATATATAAGCGAAGTCAAATATTCAACGCACATACTACATATAAATAACTATGAGCATGCATTAAGAATATAAAACGCTGGTAAGTATATATCCTGAATGTCTACAATAGAACACCATATATGTCATGTGAATGTGAAAGTTGCATAAACTTAAAACATCAAAGGGTTAATGAAGAAAGAACTTAAAGAACTGTAACGTGTTTCCTAAGCGTTGGTAAAATAAATTCAATAGGAAATCATGCATTAAACCCTAAACACTCTGTACTCTTTTCTGACACGAGGGAATTATAAACCAGTGAATGAAAATTACCCTATACTATTTCCGAATGAAAAGATTTTGTTGAATATTTCTAAGTAAATTCACTTGTTTATTCCATTTATTATTTGGACCCATATGAAGTCGTTATTGTTTGGTAATCAGCTTATACGTAGGCGACTTAATAACCTGTCCGGACAGATAAGACAGAAGATAGGAAAACACAAAAGAAATGTAAAAGGATTTTCTTCTGTTAAAAAAACAATTTCTCCATTAACAATGGCGATGCAGTTTAAACAGGTACACTTACGCATTTTGAACAAAAAACACTACATTAAATCTTTTAAAGTATGACGCCGTACACCAAGTTTATCAATCGCTTTTACTTTGTCAGTCTATTTAAGTTGATTTATCATATATTGATTGATAGACGAATGATAGTACAGTTTTCTCGAACATTTAGGTTTTCAGTTATCTCGATTTATGGTACGTCTTTTTGTTTCTTACAGATCTACATATTATGCAACAAGTATTTGAAAGGGTTAAAAAGAGTTGATATCAAGTATAACGGCCAAGGAAGAGCGTTAATATTTATATGTGAACAGACTTCGTATATAAGTGCCTATAAATAGCAACACATAACATACGAATCTATTTGAGTGTGGATTAATCAGTACAAAGATTAATTCAATTACACAAATGAAATTATAAATTGCCTAACAATGTAATTTTAACACACTATTGAGTATGTAAATATTAGAATGTTTAAAATATTTACAACGCGATAAAAAATAAACGCAATATTTCGCTAGACAAACTAGCTTCATCAAGTGTGCATCTATCCAGGTGAAATCGGATGTAGATAAGAAACTTTTGCAGCTCACTGTACATAAATTTAGCTGTCTTGTAAAGAATTCAAAATTTGGATGAAGTTCAAGATTATTTACAAAATTGTTGGTTGAAGTTTGCAACGTCCATTGGCCAATATCACAGGATAAAAAGGACAATGCTGTGTAGTAAATTATTCTTTATCTTTCCTGTATCGTTTCTCGTCTTTTTCATTAAGACCTTCTAAAGTGTAGAGCTGGTGGATCCAAAAGTTTTCTCTTCTCCTTCTCGCCGTGGTGTCCCACTCGGTGTTGACTTCTATGATTTAGAAAGTAACATTATCAAAAGGATGTTTCTTTGAGCGAAGATGTCTTGTGAGAGGACAGTTTTTGTTAGTTTTGTACCAAGAACGATGGTTATTAAGCCGAATATTAAATTTATCCATTGTTTCTCCCACATACTGAATGCCACAAGTTTTACATGTTAGAACATAAATTTAGTTTTCCGTTTTACAGTTGGAATTTGAGTAGATGGTATAACTTTGTTTTGTAAAGGAGCTGATGAAAGAACTGCTTGTATTGGCAGCTTTACAACACAAGCAATTCCTTCTGCCACATTGTTTGTAGCAACCAGGAGGTGGAGTAGGTTGCTTTGTTAATACGGCTGTCACTAATTTGTCACGGATGTTTTAGGTCTTCTGAAGGCCATTACTGGTGGTGAGGAAAAACTTTTTTTTAAATTGGAGTCATTTTCTACAATATTCCAATGCTTTTGAACAATGGATGACACATTTTTAAAATCATGATGGTAAGTGAGTACAAGAGGTGTTCTGTTGACTCCTTTATTTTTATCCTTGTACTCCAGAAGTTCATGGCGACTAGTGTTGTTTGCTCTTTCGAAAGCTGTATCAATGATATTGTTATTGTATCCTCGAACAACTAGATGTTTACGTAGTTGTCCAAGTCTAGCATTTTGCTTAAACATTTTAGTACTCTTCCTACACAAGCAAACGTATTACCGCCTTCAGAATGCCTTCATGGTCTAAAGCAATTTAAATCATTTTCAACTAATAGACATGCCATTTTATTGACATTTATCTTTTCATCTTTTAAATTAACTGTATCTTCTCAAAATAGTTGTTGTATTTAAGAGAATATGCATCTATTTTAATATTCCAAAGTTATAAAAGATAGCAAAAGAATAATATGAATAACGACAAAGAAAGTTTAAATAACTTAGCATCCCTTTGCATGTTGTAATTACTATAAAAGCAAACTCGACAGAAAAGGAACTTTGTAACAAATAATGTATGATCGATTATTGATGCATCATTGTTGACAATATCTTGATCAGGTGCTCATGTGTTTACTCTCCAAACAGGTATAAATACTATCGTATAGATCAGTAGTTATTGCTATTCAGTGTAGGCTTTCAATAAAAGTGACTAATTATTAAAGATGTCCATAAACCTTTCAGACACTTGTTTGGATTAGAGGAATGTATTGCTAATTTGTGTGCTATTCTATTCTACAGGTTGTAAGAGAATTTAATTAATACCAAACGGACTTGGAACGAAATTATCATGGGTAAGTTGTCAAATTATAATATAAAAAATGCGTTTCGCTTTGGTTTGAAAGATTTTAATTTGTACTGTTATAGCCTGATTGAATATATTTACAAATTCAAAACCGTGCTACTCTAGGAATCAAAGGATTTCATTATAGATGTTTAGGATATACGGGCACAAGTTTGAAACAAAAGCAAAGACAATTGAATGTTGTTATCTTAATATCAAATATAACAATCCTTTTTTTCTTTATGAAAGTATTTACCATCTTGTTTTATTTAGTTTAAATAGCATATACATCCGATAGAGTTATGTGAATATTAACATTTTCATGCATACTGGTCCGTGCCAGTTCCCGTATGAAATTCGTAGTTTCTCCCAAATATCAAGTTTATTTACAGGAATTCCTGTTGAAAATATTCTTTACCATAAAAATGTTTACCAAAAATTAGGATAAACACCACGCACTCAATCCTTAAATCATCTTATGAACGACGAAGATAGGTATGCTAGTGTGCCGATATAGTATGGCTAGTGTGCCAATTTTGCCGTGAAATTTTATGGTTACGAGGACTATGTTACTGTCATTTAAGAATCTTATCATTAAATTATAAATACTTTTCTGTTCTTTGCTAAATAAACCAAGCAGATAGTCATAACGGTCGTATATTCTAAATCTTTTCATCCTTTCCCAAGTCTGAACTGGTCATACATTATGTCATTTGAGATCAACAAACTATACTGTATTGAAGGAGGGCAAAAATTTGATTTTCAAATTTATAAATCTGTACTTATTCTTATGAAAGAAATTTATGTTCTTGAATAAGATTTGATATATTGTGTTTTTGAAAACTGTACGTTTTCTAAAATTGAGAACGCCATATTATAAAGTAATGACGTCTTATCCACGTACGCGTATCTTCCCACAAAGTGTTATAAAAACGAAAAACACGGAATTTCATTATCTTAATCGGATCAAACAAAACACAGTTTTTTTATTGTGTTTTCATATAATAGCAGTATACCGAATTCATGCAACGCATCCGTTATTACAAAAAATGCCTATAGTGACTGTAACTGGTAACTGACGGTAACTGGTCTTTAATCAGTAGTTTCAAAATTTAAAATATAAATATATAAAACGATATGTAAAATTATACAATATATATCATGTACTCAGTCTTATATATTGAACAAATAGTATTTTACCATGATTTTACGCTTTTCTTTCAACTTCACTAATGTCTGCTCATCTGTGATACAAATATATCGTTTGAGACACAGAATACTTTCGAAGATACATTTTTGTAATCTGTTTATTTTTGACAAAGATACTAATCAATACTCTTAATTGAAACATAAAATTTATAATCACACTGCTGTTGTTCAATTACTGCGTTTACCATTTAAATAAAACAAAATTTCTAAATTATAATCATCACATTGTTAATTTACAGTTCGAAGAAATACTATAACAGTGTTTCTTTTAATTGTTTTTTGTTTTGTTTTGGGCATTGCACAAGAGCATGTCTTCCTGTACTGTTTATAGCGGTCTTATGTCAATTTCAGCAACATATATTAAGTGTAGGACAGCTTGATATCATATCAGTATGTTAAGTGTTTTGAGTTTGCTTTCAGAAACTGCAAGCGTTCTTTTTTTCTGTTTAATTTGTTGGTTATTTTGTGATTTTAACTGGGTTTTCCGAAGAAGAAAATCCAGTTATTAAATTGGTGAAGTACTTTATGTCGTTTCCGTGTAATTACTTATGAACCACTTGACCAATGTTGTTAAAGTTTTAATATGTTTTACTGATAAACAAATGTTCAATAGAATAGAAAATGGAAACGGGAATGTGTCAAAGAGACAAAAACCTGACCAAAGAGCAGAAAACAGTCCAACAATCGGTCTTCAACGCAGAGAGAAAATCTCACACCCAGAGGCGGGCTCTAGCTGACCCCTAAACAATAACGCATACTAATTAATCGAAATGGACGCCACACTTTGATATTGACGAATTTCATTTTTGCCGTTCAGAAGTTATGATCTTTGATAGATTAGAAAATAGGCATATATATGTCTTTCTATGTTGTGGTGTTACACTATTGTTTCAGATAAGGGTGAAGGATTGGTACCATTAAAACGTTTAAACCCGCTGCAATTGTTTGCACCTGTCCTAAGTCAGGAATCTGATGTTCAGTAGTTGTAGTTTGTTGATGTGGTTCATAAGTGTTTCTCGTTTCTCGTTTTTTATATAGAATAGACCGTTGGTTTTCCCGTTTGAATGGTTTTACACAAGTAATTTTTGGGGCCCTTTATAGCATGCTGTGCGGTGTGAGCCAAGGCTCCGTGTTGAAGATCGTACTTTAACCTATAATGGTTTACTTTTATAAATTGTGACTTGGATGGAGAGTTGTCTCATTGGCACTCATACCACATCTTCTTATATCTATATAATGTGAAAGGTTTAAAAAGCCTGAAAGCGCCTTTCAAAATACAGAAAGCTACTAGTAGTTTGCTGTCAATTAGACAGCTCATTCCATGCTGTCATCAACTATACCGTCATTGTAAAGTTAAGTGCATTTCCTGTACTGTTTTATTGTATGTTCTATTGGCTGTTTCTGTTTAATCTATTCACAGCTGTTATATACTCCGGACGAGTAAGAGCGTGTTATAGTGTATAATTTCGCAAGTGTAGTTGTCTATTGTTGAAGACTGCACGTTGTCCTCTAGATTTTTTCTCGTTGGGTTGCTATCTCATTGACGTTTAACCACATCTCCTTTTTGTCTCATAACATTTCATACATCACCAACAGAGATGAGAAGGACTGCCTCGTATATCTACAACTCTTTCTTGAATATAATGTTGGTTGACAACGTATCACTATTGTCTATGTCATATGGAACGATTTATGTTTTCCTGTTGTCAACTACCCATTCTGGTGTAAACACTACCATTCCCCCAGCATATGGTCTCTACGTATCTCAGTTATTAAGATATAATAGAACCTCTTCTCATTATGGCGGTTTCGCTAACAGAGATATACTCTTACCCTTACAACTACTCTTCACATCTTCTTTGGTCGCTATTTTAAAACATCTCAACTCTATCATAGATCCAAAATCGATTTATGTCCGTCTGACCATATCATCAGTTTATCACGTTCCAAGCATTAATACTTATTACACTCGGTGTGACTTTAAAATCGCGCGACAGGTGTTACATACATCGCATGAGATGCTTACTGTGTCCACACACCTAGTATCGCTTCGTCTGGAGTTCATGATTCCGATTGTTGTGACTCTAATTTTTGTCTGTTTTATATCTATCAGATTAACTCAATCTTAATATAATAACTAAATACCTTCTGCTGAACCTAGGTAGAGTGAAAAAGCATGAAGTTTATATCAGGAAATGAGTTTTAGCTTATTTTCAGTGACTGCTTTCATTCTTTGTTACGGCATGTTTGATATTGTTACACTTACAGTTGTGTCATCTGATACTATTGAGTTAAATGGTGTTTCTGAACTGGTTGTAATCTCATTTTTGTACTCATTGTAAAATTATTTAATTGGTCGAGATAAAGCGAAGGAAAGTTGAATACTCGCTAGACTTGATACAGTCATTCACTTGTTAATGTACCCGTCTAAATTAAGGATCGCGTCAGTAGTTTTTTTTCTATTATCTCTGAATATTTTGATAAAAATGAGGAAATGTGGTATGATTGCCAATGAGACAACTATCCACCAGAGTTAAAATGGAGAGGTTGTAAGGAAATGTAGGCAACCGTACAATGAGAAAAACCCATACCGTATAGTCGGCTAAAAAGGCAACGACATGAAAAATGTGAACAATTCAAACAAGAAAAACTAACGGCCTAATTTATATATAACAAAACAAATCAAATATGACAGACATGAACCAACGACAACCGCTGTACTTCGGGCTCCTAACTTGGGTCAAGCAAATAAAGAATGTCTATTAAAATTGTCTATTAAAGAATTTTGTATTAATTTCAGGCTTTTTGTATTAATCGCTTATTTGTATTACTTGTCTTATATAGGGGGATTTAGAATTGATATGTTGTATAGACACTTGCTTATGTTGATTGAATGTTCATCTCAAGGTGTCTATGCGTATGTGATTTTGTACTCTTTGGTACAGATTATGTATCACATTGGCGTATACACCTTTATATTTAAAGATCTAATTATCTTTGTTATACTTTTGACTTTTAATGCATTCAGACAGTATATAGGGTTAAAATAAAGTTACATAAACCAGGATGTGCTTAATCCGTTGGCAATTCAAAATTCAAATTAAAAATTTCTATTTTGAGAAAATGATTTCGCATAGTTGCCGTCTGTTATTTTTGACTTTTGCGATAGAGCTGACAATTGTTTACATTCTTGTATACATAAGAAGTCATTTGATTTGGTTACTTTATATGTATATTATGTCATTATTTATGATACATAGGCATAGAAGCACGACTTCAAATGTTATTGCTAGGAATGTTATTTAAAAGTACATGTATAACGAACATATATACATTCAAATTCCCTTAACTTCATAAGGAGATGTAAAAGATTGCCAAATGAGACAAGGATCTACCAGAGACAGATTCACGTGGATAGGTACTGTAAGGTCTTCAACAATGATTAAAAACCACTCCGTATATATAGCTATAAAAGGTCCCGACATTACAAAAAAGCAAAAACGGCCGGATTTATGATAAGACAACAAACGAAAAACAAATATGACAGATAGCAACCAGTTGACTTTGTTTGAATGAATTTGTGATTGATCATGATGCACATATCTTAAAGTTTGAATGTAAAATGTAAGAATACCTACATTTATACATTAATAGAATTGACTCGGAATGGAAACGGGGAATGTACCAAAGAGGTAGCAACCCGACAAAAGAGCAGAAAACAGCCCAAGGCCTCCAATGGGTCTTCAACGCAGCGAGAATATCCCGCACCCGGAGGCGGGCTTCAGCTGGCCCCTAAACATC